AAAAAAATCCAACTTTCTTGCCAAAATCTGATTTTCCAATGAAAAAAACAGCTTTTCTGACCAAGAAATCCTCAAAAAAACCCCAAAGAGCCACTTTTCCACCCAAAAAACTCTGTTTTTACAATAAAAAAATATTTAAAACTCCCCCCAAAAATATCCACTTTTTCTCACAAAAATCCCCCCAAAATCCACTTTTTCCTGCCAAAAAATCTGCTTTTCCACTGACAAAGTCTGCTTTTGCAACAAAAAGTTCTTAAAATCTCCCCTAAAAAAATCCACTTTTCTGCCCAAAAAATCAACTTTCACGGCAACATTTTTAAAACTCCCCAAAACAAATTCACTTTTCCCTCACATAAATCCCCCCAAAATCCTTTTTTCTGCCCAAAAAATTCTTGGGTTGGGATGGATCCATCCCATCCCATCCCCATTCCCCATGCAGTGCCGGTTCCCCATTCCTGGTGCTCACCCCACAGCAGCTCGGGGCTGTCACAGGGCACAGTCGGTCCCGGCCATTCCCCATCCTCATTTCCCCCATCCCATTTTCCCATCCCCACTTCCCCCATTCCCCATTCCCCTGGCAGTCTCGGTTCTCTCCGGTTCCCCATTCCTGTTCCCACTGCTCACCCTGCAGCAGCTTGGGGCTGTCACAGGGCACAGTCGGTCCCAATCATTCCCCATTCCCGTTCCTGTTCCCAGTTCCCATTCCCATTCCCCGTTCCCATTCCCAGTTCCTCATGGCAGTCCCAGTTCCTCAGCAATCCCCCGTTCCCGGTGCTCATCCCACAGCAGCTCGGGGCTCACGAAGCCCAGCACATCGGCCACTCCGAGCTCCTGGTGGCCACAGGTCCCGCCGTGGATGTGCAGCCATTCCCCATTCCCGTTCCCCCATTCCCCCATTGTCCCGGTTATCATTCCCGTTCCCGGTTCCCCAGCAGTCCCCGTTCCCGGTTCCCGTTCCCATTCTCAGTTCCCCATTCCCGTTCCCCATTCCTGTTCCCCCATTGTCCCGGTTCCCCCCGGCAGTCCCAGTTCCCTGTTCCCGTTCCCGGTTCCCGTTCCCATTCCCGGTGCTCACCCCGCAGCAGCTCGGGGCTCACGAAGCCCAGCACATCGGCCACTCCGAGCTCCTGGAGGCCGCAGGTCCCGCCGTGGATGTGCAGCCATTCCCCATCCCCATTCCCATTCCCATTCCTGTTCCCATTCCCGTTCCCCGTTCCCATTCCCATTCCCCGTTCCCGGTTCCCCGTTCCCGGTGCTCACCCCGCAGCAGTTCGGGGCTGACAAAGCCCAGCACATCGGCCACTCCGAGCTCCTGGCGGCCGCAGGTTCCACCGTGGATGTGCAGCCATTTCCCATTCCCGTTCCCCCATTGTCCCGGTTCCCGGTTCCCATTCCCCGTTCCCCATTCCCGTTCCCGTTCCCGGTTCCCATTCCCCGTTCCCCATTCCCGTTCCCATTCCCCGTTCCCATTCCTGTTCCCATTCCCATTCCCCATCCCCATTCTCATTCCCCACTCACCCCGCAGCAGCTCGGGGCTCACGAAGCCCAGCACATCGGCCACTCCGAGCTCCTGGCGGCCGCAGGTTCCACCGTGGATGCGCAGCCAGGCGGGCTCGGCCAGCGCGGTGCAGAGCGCGGTGATGGACAGAGCCCCGGGCAGCGCCGAGGCCAGGCTGCGCTCCGGCTGCTTCGGTAACCCCGGGGCGCCCCGCCGCCGCCG